ACCCTGTATATTTGAATTTATGAAGGCGTTCAAAATCAATGATAAATACGCATACTACTTAAGTAGTCACTTTTTACATTACATACGTTTTGTTATTGGTCAGAACGAAACTCGTTAAAAAGCCGGCATCCTATCATGACCAAAATAACTTCAGAATAGTCTACACGATAATCTGTTCCAAAACCTTAGTCAATCTCGATTAGCAAAAGAGTATCAATCTTTCCCATATGTCGGCATGTTGCACGAATTCTGGCGCGTACTGTACGCTTCGGGTTGTGCACCACCTGGTATTGGTATGACTGGCTGATGACGGCTAATGAATTACCAATAGCCATTCCAGTCTCCCTTATCTTTGCCGATAGTGTTCATCTACCAGACAATACTTCCTAGTGAAGTTATATGTATTGACGACTTCCGGGAGAGGTAACTAGAAGGATGACAAAGACTGAAATGGTGATTTCAGGCTTGTTGGCCACGACCAAGACCCTAGGCAAGTAATCATCCACATAGCCTCCTCAAAGTTGATGCTCTCGGGCTGACAGAGGGCCATACAACTACTTGTCAGACTGCGACATCTCTCCCCTTCTTTTCGCACCCACTATGTTCCAGTGCCAAGACAGAGCCAAAATGATCGGAACGATAGGCGTGGGTGGACACAGTTACTGTTCCGTCATACGATCACAGTTTCGCGTTATTCAGAGCTTCTCTCGAGCTTTGCATCACGACGACGGCGTTAAGGTAATCAGTAAGTGCAGCCAACGCGTCAGCCGTATAGTCTGTAGTAAAAAGCTGACATGTCGTAAGGGTGACGCATCACTCCGCGGTCGACGTAAACAGCACGGTGAAATTTGAGTGGAGTTTCCGACAGTTTCACACCTCAAGGGATCGGATAGCGCTGACAAGGGGGGGGGCTGTAAGCAAGGAAGCCTGAGCATCTGCGGAGAACACGATCGTTCGATTTAGTGATCTTGCGCTGACATAGAGAGCCCGAACTGGCGTTTGATTGCCCGCCTTCTCCCTATAACCGCTGCATGCTTTGTTGCCGCTTTCATCTCTGATAATAGACCCCAGTAAGAGTTCGAAAGCTCGGATGACTAAAAGCATGATTCTGGCGAGCGAACAGTCTTCATCTTCTTTCCTGGAGGATATTGCATAAAGTGACGCTGTCGAGGGCACAAGCCCCTGAATGCTTCGTATGATCTATTTTGTCTGACGTGCTTTCATTTGGCGTACCAAGTCAGGGGTTCAGACCATTTCCATGTGCAAGTGACTTTCGGATCTAATTTACTAATATTCATAGTTAAGATGGTGCGGAGTCTAGATGTCTAGCCGCTGTAGATGGGGAAACGCTGTCGCTCATTACTGCCTACACTGAATAAGTTTCTCGTTTTTTATAACCTTACTAAGAGTGTGCGCTATGCCGTGTACCGATTGCGCTCGATACAATTGCATATAATAGGGTTTTTTAGCAGCTTCCGATGCTTGATCGCCTGATTTGGCAGAATCATACATCGTCGCCGAAGGTACCACCGTCCTGTAGTAACGGTAGCCAAGGCTGAGATGTCACCGCCTAATTGCGTCTTGTTTGAGCCCCCAAGGAAGAACACGACAAGAACGGGGCGAAAGCAGAAGTCTTTGAGTGTAATAGGTACAACATATTTAGAGCAACAAACGCGTGTAAACTATGTCCATCGGGCCAATCAGCTTCTGCACTGACCTTTGT